CTTTCACCACCAGATACATCTGGTGGTGAAAGGAGAGTCCGATGCTGTAAAGATCTATACTCCATAGGAACCTGGAATGTAAGATCCATGAATCAAGGCAAGCTGGATGTGGTCAAACAAGAGGTGACAAGACTGAACATCGACATCTTAGGAGTCAGTGAACTAAACTGGACAGGAATGGGTGAATTTAATTCAGATGACCATCAGGTATACTACTGAGGGCAAGAATCCCTCAGAAGAAGTGCAGTAGCCTTCATAGTCAATAAAAGAGTAGGAAAAGCAGTACTGGGATACAATCGCCAAAATGACAGAATGATCTCAGTTCGAATCCAAGGCAAACCATTCAACATCACAGTAGTCTAACTCTATGCCCCAACCACTAGTGCTGAAGAGGCTGAAGTTGACCGGTTCTATGAAGGCCTACACCTTCTAGAATTAACTCCAAAAAATGATGTCCTTATCATCATGGGGGATTGGAATGCTAAAGTAGGAAGCCAAAAGATAACCGGAGTAACAGGCAAGTTTGGCCTTGGAGTACAAAATGAAGCAGGGCACAGGCTGGTAGAATTTTGTCAAGAGAATACGATGGTCATAGCAAACACTCTTTTCCAACAACCCAAGAGATGACTCTACACATGGACATCAAATGAACAAAAAGAGCGACTTGACAAATTGGATAACTCTATTAAAGAGGTGACAACTCAATTATCTGATGTTCGACTTAAAGCGGAACAGAATACACAAAAAATGCAACAAGTATGTGAAAAATTGGAGACAGTAGATAAAGAAATACATTTAATTAAGCAAACAAATAAGTCAACATGGGACTCAATGACTGCATTAGAGATGGAGAAGGAATCTTACTATTTAAGATTTCAGAATATACCTGAAGAGAAAAATGAGGATCTGCGAAAGCTTATAACTGACATGTTGGCGGAGTGTTTAGAAATCGAGAATGAGGTCATGGGTATGGGAATTGACCTTGTTTTTAGGGTCAATTCTTCTTATACCAGAAAAAATAAACTTCCGAGAGAAGTTCATGTCAAATTTGCTCTAAGGTCTATAAGAGACAATGTTTTGAAGGCCGTACGGGAGAAGCCGTTAAAGAGAGATGATCGTCAGGAGGTGACAGTCCTGAAACAGATACCATGGAGGATTAGAGAGGGATGAAAGAAATATCTATTCCTTACTACAAAATTGATCAAGAAAGAGATTATCTTTAAGTGGTTAATAGCAGAAGGAATATTTTTCACATGGAACTCTGTAAGATATAAATTGGATTCAGTTCTTAAAGCACAAGAGTTCTATGAAAAATTTAGAGCCATGTTGGAACACTGTTTTCTCTAAAGAAGGAGAAAAAGGCGCTGAAGCAATGGAAACAACAGCGTACCATTCTGAAGAAGGAGAAATACTGAAGGTTGATTCACAATAAGAAGTACAGACTTTGGACTCAAAGGAGAGAAAAAAGGTAGAACTGTAAAGGCAAAGAATAAGTAGATAATATTATTAAATATGGCTCTTAAAAAGGAAGGGAAAATTGAATTGTTCTCCTTAAATGTTAATGGACTAAATGGACCATCTAAGAGAAGGGTTTTTGCTCAACTTCAAAAATGAAAGTTAGACATAATTTGTCTTCAAGAAACACATATTAAGAAACAATGTGTTAAACTTCTAGAATGTTTAAAACTGGGAAAACTGTTTCTATCTTCTGCATCACAAAAGAAAAGAGGTTTAGCACTATATGTTAAAGAAAAATTGGACCCTAAATATATTCTTTCTGATGAGGATGGTAGGATCTTGATGGTAGAAATTACAATTAAACTTAAAAAGGTGCTCTTGGTGGCAACATATACACTAAATGACCATCAGGAAACTTTTTACCAAAAACTACATATGTTACTCTTACAAGTGGACTATCAGACTATGTATGTAATGGGTGATTTTAATGCAATTGTGAATAAGGAAATCGATCACAAGAATGAAAGTAAGGGAAAAAGGGTAGGAGGATGCTTCTAAAGTCTTGTTCCAATATGACTGAAGAACTCAGATTGATAGATGCCTGGAGGCATAAAAACCCTACTTCTGCCAATTATTCTTTTTATTCAAACAGACACAGGTCATGGTCTAGAATTGATATGGTTTGGATAACTCCAGACTTAGTTCCAGATTTGATAGAAGCTGAAATGGAGACAAATGTCTGGGCAGATCATGATCCTGTATTTATATCACTGAAAGGAGCTGCAAGGACGCCCAGATGGAGTCTAGATAAAGCGTTACTAAAAGATAAAAAATTTACAGAAGAGATAAGCAAAGAAATGCAAATATTCTTTCAAATAAACAAAGCGGAAGAAACTTCTTTACAGAATGTCTGGGATACAGCTAAAGCCTATGTCAGGGGACTGATAATAACCTACTCAGCAAAAATAAAGAAAAAGAAAAAGCAAGAGCGAGCAACAGTAGTAAAAGAACTGAGGAAATGGGAACAAGAACTGCAGGAGGATCCAACAAAAAGAAATCTTAGGGTCCAAATGAATACTTTAAAGCACAAATTGAATCTCTTGGATACAAATGAACTTACTAAGCAAATGAAACTGGCTAAACAGAACTTTTTTGAAAATGCTAATAAACTGGGGAGATGGCTAGCATATAAAGTAAAAAAAGAAAGAGAGAAGAGACTGATTTCGAAACTGAAAGATGGAGAAGGACGACTACAGGTACAAAACACACAAATTAAGAAAATAGCTGAAGATTTTTTTGCAAGGTTATACCGGAAGGAGGAGATTTTGATCGAGAAGGTAAAAGAATACATTCGAAAGGAAGACTTATCAAAACTACCAGAAAAGTATCAAAAATTATTGAATCAAGAAGTAATAACTATTGGTCTTCCTGATTGGATGTTGTACTATCAAGTGTCTATTTTAACTTGGCTAAAAGAATGGATAACCTTGCGAAATAAGAGAATTTTGTATCTTGAAGGTCATGATTTGCAAATAGGTTGGCATGCTTGTATGTGGTATGAGAAGGTTAAGTCTCATGGGACTTTTTAAAGTCACTTTATCAGAAGATCATTAATGTCAGTGTGGGAAAAGTTACAGTCAAAATTGTATAATAAATTACCAAGATGGCTTTCACCTATGGAAGCTTTTGTGTATCCAAATGTATTGAATTTTGAAGGAATCATAAGATATGACGATATTTTGGATAAGGATGGAGGCCTGAAACTAGATCAAGAAATACAAGAACAGGGACTCAATATTTCTTGGTGGTATAAGGTACAGATGCAATCAAGATATGCTAAAGACTGTAAAATATGGGGGTTTCATAAAGACCTAACAGCCTTTGATCAAGTGATGCTAAAAACAGATGAGAAAATGATTAAAAGAATTTATGAGTTCTTACTTGACAGGGAAATGCAAAGGGGAACAGGTTAAGGAAACTGATAACATGGGCACAAAATTTTGGATATACTATTGAATTAGAAAAGTGGCAAAAGCTATGGGAGAGAAATATTAAGGTAACTTTAGCAACTTCGTATAAAGAAAATTTATATAAAATGTTTTATAGATGGTATTTGTTGCCAAGTCGATTAGCTAAAATGTTTCCAAATATGTCAAACGGATGTTGGAAATGTAAACATGATGTGGGTACTTTTTACCATCCGTGGTGGACCTGTGAATATGTGAAAAAGTATTGGATTAAAATACATAAATGGCTTGAGGAAATGTTACAAAAACCCTTAGGTTTTAAACCTGAAATTTTCTTGTTAGGCATTATACCGGAAAATATTAGCAAACAAGAAATGTATTTGATGCTACATTTAACCACAGCAGTGAGGATTGCGCTTGCTCAATACTGGAAGAGTGAGGAACTACCCACAGAGGAACTGATTTTAAAAAAGATTCTGGACTGTGCAGAAATGGACAGATTGACTCTATTACTGAAGGAGAAAGAAGATACTGACTTCTATCAAACTTGGGACCTTTTTTATGATTGGCTGGAGAAACGGGACTTGGCTTAGATTTAAATATGTTTTTAAATTTTTATAAATCGATTTGAATATGATTACAGAATGTTAAAAAGATATATTATACGGGGCTGACCCAGTACGTCCGATGTAATTGATGGTTGATGTTTTTTAGTTTTTAGTTTAAAATCTTAATAAAAATCTTTATTTAAAAAAAATAAAAAAAAAGACATCCTGGAATGTGAAGTCAAATGGGCCTTAGGAATTCTGAGCAACAACAAAGCTAGTGGAGGTGACAGTATTCCAGCTGAGCTATTCAAAATCTTAAAAGATGATGCAGTAAAAGTGCTACACTCAATTTGCCAGCAAATTTGGAAAACTCAACAGTGGTCACAGGAATGGAAAAGGTCAGTTTATATTCCGATCCCAAAGAAGGGCAATGCCAAAGAATGTTCAAACTACTGCACCACTGCACTCATTTCATATGCTAGCAAAGTTATGCTCAAAATCCTACAAGCTAGGCTCCAGCAGTATGTGGACCGAGAACTGCCAGAAGTACAGGCAGGATTTCGAAGAGGGCGAGGAACTAGAGATCAAATTGCCAACATACCTGGATCATGCAGAAAGCTAGGGAGTCCCAGAAAAACATGTACTTCTGCTTCATTGATTATGCTAAAGCCTTTGACTGTGTGGATCACAACAAACTGTGGCAAGTTCTTAAAGAGGTGGGAGTACCAGACCATCTTATTTGTCTCTTGAGATACTGATATGCGGGTCAAGGAGCAACAATGAGAACTGGACACGGAACCACTGATTGGTTCAAAATTGAGAAAGGAGTTCAGCAAGGCTGTATGCTGTCACCCTGCCTATTTAACTTATATGCAGAGCACATCATGAGAAAGGTGAGGCTAGATGAATCACCAGTTGGAATTAAAATTTCTGGGAGAAATATCAACAACCTCAGATATGCAGATGATACCACTCTAATGGCAGAAAGAGAAGAGGAAATAAAGAGCCTCTTGATGCGGGTGAAGGAGGAGAGCACAAAAGTTGGCTTGAAACTCAACATTAAGAAAACTAAGATCATGGCATCCTGTCCTCTCACTTCCTGGCAAATATATGGGGAAGAAATGGAGGTAGTGACAGATTTTATTTTCCTGGGCTCCAAAGATTTCCGCAGACAGGGACTGCAGCCAAGAAATTAAAAGACGTTTGCTCCTGGGGAGGAAAGCTATGGCAAATCTAGACAGCATACTAAAAAGCAGAGACATCACTCTGCCAAAAGTGAATATAGTCAAGGCTATGGTTTTCCCAGTTGCAATGTATGGCTGTGAAAGTTGGACCATAAGGAAGAATGACCGCCAAAGAATTGAGGCCCTTGAATTGTGGTGCTGGAGGAGACTCCTGCAAACCCATTGGACTGCAAGGCACTCAAACCAGTCAGTCATAGAGGAGATCAACCCTGACTGCTCTTTAGAAGGCCAGATGCTGAAGATGAAACTCAAATACTTTGGCCACCTAATGAGAAGGAAGGACTCCCTGGAGAAGAGCCTAATGCTGGGAACAATTGACAGCAAAAGAAGAAGGGGACAGCAGAGGATGAGGTGGCTAGATGGAGTCACGGAAGCAGTCGGCGTGAACTTAAGTGGACTCCGGGGGATGGTGGAGGACAGGAAGGCCTGGAGGAATGTTGTCCTTGGGGTCGCAATGGGTCGGACACGACTTCGTGACTAACAACAACAACAACAACTGTATTCATATATCGGCCATGTTTGTGAATTTTGCATATAAATTGAAAAACCAGACTATAAATATCTTTAGAAAAACAGAGGTGGGAAAACTATAAAGCTGGTTCTTCTGTCCCCATCTTTTTCCTTTTCTCTTACAACAGATCAAGGTGAGAGGCTTCTAAACAAAGCCTTTTATTATGAGCCCTATTATTTGAGGAGTTACTTTTGCCCATTCCAGGAGCTGATTCCATCAAATTCCCCTCCTCCCCTCTCCACAAAACTGAGTTGGCTTTTAAGTCAGATAGTGGAAATGTTGCATATTATTTAGTCATCAGTCCATCAATCCATCCATTTAAACAAAAATCGTCTATATCACCTGATTCCTAGTAAAAGGCAGAAGCCAAGTTTCTCTTCTAAACCAAGTTTCACTTCTGTTCCATTGTACCAGTTTCTTCCTTAATGTCAGAATAGTGTGATTTTCTAAGTTGTTCCATTAAGAAATCCCTCAATTTTTATTTTAAATAAAATAAAAAATTAAAGTCCTTTATTTAAAGAGAAAAAAATTAAAGAGAGACGTTTCTGTGTATATTCTGATGGCAAAAGAGCTTCAAAGTACTGCTTCAGATGTTTACTCTTTCTTAGTGTTGAACAACATAAGAGAATAAGTATTCAAAACGGAAATATTTTCACTTCTGTTATTGCCTATTTTCCATTAATGTATCAGTAGAGGTTGAGATACTTGCCAACCTATGTAGTGAATTACCTTTTCTGAACACCCTAGTCCACTCCCATCACCACTCAGGATTTCAGCTTCTTCTGTCCTACTGATATGCTTCTGCATATCTACTGATTCCATTTCTATTCCACTCATTACTGGAAGCTGTCTTGGAAGTATATAGCTCCCTTATTCATGACAAAATACGCCCATCTTGTGTCTTCATCTAAGGATTATTCTTTTTTTTTCAACCACTGCATTTATATTTTTAGGCTACACACTTTTTAAAGGTATCACATTTCCTCTCTATTATTATCAAGGGATATGCAAGTGTTTAATTACCATACATAAGAGCTGCAGCTTAATTTTGGCAATTTCCCACCCTTGAAAAAAAACATTTTTAACCAGTATCAGAGATTGTAATGAATCAGGATATCAATCCTGCCATAGACCCCAGTACAGTCTTCAAGATTGAGATGAAGGCCTGAAGTGCCTCAGGCTTGTTTTCACTCTGCTTCACCAACATTTGCATCTCTGTATCCCCTGTTTCCAGCAGCAGCTCGGTCAGGAAAAGACAGCCAGTGTCATCCTGGGCTCCAAGATAAGCTTTCCACAGCTGGGAACCAGCTTTGCTCATTGCAATAGTCTGGATATGGACAACCTGCAGTGCAGACTGTATGGTGTCGGGCAGCACAGTTTCCTGCCAGGGAACAGCTTGCTGGCAACCCACACCAAGACTCAGCCATGTCCTCTCAAACTGCTCTGCAGTCAGATGGAAGCTGGGCATTAGAATAAGGCTGCTTGAGCTGACTTTATCACAAGGAACCTTCTCTTGCTTTTCTGACATTAGTGGCTCTGAAAAGGAAGAAACAGAAGTCAGATAAGGCAACAGCAGTTGCTGAATGTTTAGCATGAACATCAGAGCTATAATACACATCAGAAACCTTGCTGAACAGTGAAGGAAGAACATCTAGCAGAACTGTATGCCTCAAGTCATACCTTTAATTAAAGGTTCTAGTTTTCCTCAGGGAAAACATGAGCACAAAGCCTACAAGAGAGAATAGTGAGCCCATTACCTTTGCCCACCAATGCTGAGTCTTCAGAGGGGGAATCTACATGGCGAAGTTCAGTAACCTGGCCGGCTGTCATAGCTGCCCATTGCTTTTTGCCGTATATGGGTACCAAGGAGTTAAAATCAGATGCCCATGTATTCACAGAGCTTTCAGCCTGCTCCTCCAAAAGCTGCAGAGAGTGATCAGATGTGGGGCTGCAAAGAACTCTTTTTGTCTCTTCCGTACCAGCTTGCAAAAGACGATAGTAGAACAGTGCATGGTCCCGAACCATCATGTCTTTCTCCTCCTCTGAATGAAATAAGGACACATTTGCTCACAAAAACAGCACAGTATTTATCCAGCTTATCCTTAGTGATTTATGCAAAATGGCTGGGCACACCTCTGAACCCACGGAGTATACCTCATCCCCTACCCTGTGGTAGTCACCTGCTGACTCTGGGAGCAAAAAAAGAAAAGAAAATATATAATAAAATGGTTCAAGACTCGGAAGTCTGGCTTGGAAATCTGTGTATTTTTAAAAGTAGAAAGCTTGTGCCTTTCAGTTCTCAGCCCACCAGTACATATTACCATTTGTGAGAGACCCTTTCAGTATTTATACATCAGCCATCTTAGAAGGATTATAGTTACCTATACAATAATAGAGTAATCGACCCAGCATATCCTGGCATTCAGCTGGACGTGCTATGAAGAGCCGCATCAAAGCTGTCAGCAGTTCCACTTTCACAGCTGAGAATGACTCTGATTTCACATTCTCTACAAAATCTTCCAAGATATAGGGGGCATTGGGAACTTTCTCCCCATGGACTCCCAGCAGCCAGATTAGTGCTTGCTTGCCCTGAAAAATTAAGCCAGCATGCTTCAATTCAGAACCACATAATTCCATTTGTTTTTGTTTTAATTATTGAGAAGAAGTTCATGTGACCAAATTGCTGAACTGAAAATGTAGGAGGAGTAAAACAGTGCAGAACAGCACACCAGGTGAAGCGGTTCAGAAACTACCTCACTGCATGCCCCACTCCATCATTAAAACCCTATTACACTACTTTGATTTGGAGACTTGCAAAGGTCCATCCAACACTGTGGTGATGTGGTTATCGCTTCATGCTATTACCTTGTATCACCCAAGCGTTAGTTATGCCTGCTGCTAGTTCACCTGATTATGCCAACAGGTACTAAGGGCAGAATCCTATGCAAGTTTATACAGAAAAAAGTCCTATAACTCTAGGCAGCAATGCTGGCACATGTAGTACATTTTTTTGTCTAAAGGTGCATAGGATTGTGTCATACGTTTTATGTTATATCTCTACAGTACAAAACAGTAATATAGATTCCTTTCCTTCCCTGCTTTCTCATATGCTTACAAGAATGTAGAAAAATAGCATACACTTTGCTTTCACAAGGGCAATGAATAATTAAAATCAGGAACACTAAAGTCATGAGTCTATGTTGCAGATGGAAAAACAGAGGGGTTGCTGCTGGTATAGTCTGCAGATAGACTACTATAAAGGGACGGGAACGAGCACGCCCTCAACTTTCATTTCTGAACAACAGAACTGGAATGCTTTCATTTTCCAAATGGACCACATATGCACAATTCACTTATCTTTCTCTTTCAGCCTCCAACACAGAGCTAATAGCTTGCCTAGAACACCACTAAAGGGTGATGGACAGATTGATTACAGTTACAAAATATATTGCTATAAGAGTTTGGGTTTTCTAATAGCAGAATCTAAAAAGTTTTCATCCACAGCTTGAGATTCCAAGTTGTATTTCTTAAGACTGGTGTCTGATGGAAGAATTTAATATGGCTTCAACTAAACAACCTCAGCACTGTCATGCCCAGCTGCACATGCACAGCACATATATAAAACACCCCACTTCCACTTACCTCACTGTCTTGGATAGTCTCTTCACATCCAGACAAAGCCTGTGACACACTTTCTGTACACTGCGGACACAACCACACCAGATCCCGGAACACCTGCACCACCGCTGCAACAGATATATATTTATTAAAACATTTTTATACTATGTTTTAGCCCTAACAAGGATCCCCCAACAGTAAAATTCCAATACATTTAAAACCAGATAGAAGCAAAAGCAAAAGATAAATAACTAAAACAAAAATCATAGCTAACAGGTATAAAATGAACTCAAAATTTGGTGGAATGAAAACACCTTAACCACTTGCCCAAAAGGCAACAGAAAAGGGGTCAACATCTCCTCTCTTGAGAGGGAATTAGAGGACTGGGATGCTGCTACTGAAAAGGCCTCCTATGTTCCCACCAACCATACCTTTCTTGGTGGCAGAATGTAGAGCAGGACCTCCAAATAAAACTACAACTGATGGACAGGTTCATACAGGAAGAGAAAATTCCTGCAAATGAACTGAACCCAAGTCAATTAGTACTTTCAAGGCTGTAATCAGCACATTGAACTGGACTTAAAAACAAACTGGAATCTTAAGAGGATCAGTGTAATACAGTCAAAAAAGCAGACAACAGAAATTGCTCTGGCTGCAACATTCTCTGCCACCTATAGTCTATGAATACATGGCAAGGAGTGCAGACTGCATAGCAGGAAACCAATGTAACGGTGGTCAATTCTGCTTTCTCCAAGAAGGAGCACAACTGCTACATCAGCTGAAGATAGGCAAGAGCATTCTTGGCCGGAGCAGCCATCTGGCAATCCAGAATAATCCTGGGCCAAGGAAGCACAGACTGCTAACCTTGTTCCTCCAATTGAGCGTAGCTGACTTAGAACAGAAAACACTTCCTATCCTGGGTCAAGATTTCAGCTGATGAGTGATATTACTTTATTGTTTGAATTAACTTTCAGCTTAGCCCATGGGGTCCTCTGAGTTCTCAAAAGAAAATCATTTCACACTGCAATAAATAACTTAAGCTGTCAAGAAAATATTTAAGAGGCTTCAAATTTGCTGAGATAGGTGGAATCATGCTCCATCTTCATGGTTTGGGATACCTGTTTCAAGAATGCAAATAAATGCTGCAGGCAATCCGAGTATAACCACAAATGCTTTACATTTTAGAAGTATGCCAATGAAGTCTGAAATGTAATTTCTGCAGCATCCTCCAACATGTAGAAATTTGACAAAAAGAATGATCACATGACAATTAAGAAATTATATGACTAAATATGCAATAGCACAGTTGCCTTTTTTAGATTACTACATTACAGTATTAATGTGAAGGACTGGGATAGTTTACCTGAAGTTATATGTTCCTGCTTCAGCTCAAGGAGTTCTCTTAGGATCCCCACACACTGCTCTGTATATGTCCTTGCAATGTTGCCTGCAAAGTTCACAACACAGCTTAAACAAATCTAACAAAAATTTGAGATTACAAACGCAAGCACAATGTATTTGCTCCAGTGTTGCAGGGACAGGGCTTGAAGCAAAAAACTGCTTCTTCCCTTCAGTCATTTTCTCAAACACGATCTGCTTACACTCCCCATTTGGAGCTAGAGTGCTCAACCAGAAGGACAGGAAGCATCCCTGGACTGCTGTTATGCCCAAACCAGACAGATACTCAGCCCAAATGTTTCCCTGAACATTGTGCCAGTCACAAAGAACTAGCCAGCAAACAGAGAAACAATCTGCTGACATTTAGTCTGTGGGAAAACTATCTACTGCATTTTCTATATACATATCCTATTTTTGACATACATTTGTTTGTATGGAAGCAGCCTGAATAAGAAGCCAGCTAACTCACCTATGGCAAAGATTGCTCCCTGTGCAAGCTCTGTTGACACATCAGTGCAGTAGTCCCTCAATTCCTCTAGTACCTGCTGCACATTCTCATCATTCACCAACTTGCATAGCACCTCCATTTTCTGGCATTTGATGTAATGTGGTTCTGAGTACGAGCAGAAGAACTTCTTGTAATGGCTGCTGAAGTGACCAGGAAAGCTATCTAAGATCTGGCGTACATGACACAAGGCAGTGAAGCAGAGTTCCCTACTCTCAGAAGTGCAAGCTGCCAGGAGTGGCCCCTTTACTCTCACCAACACATCTGCCTGCACATGGGGAAAGTCTCTGGCCAAAACCAAGAAGAGTTTTGTGGCAGCCATCACCACACTGGAACTGCTATTTTTGAGATACCCATCCAGTAAATTAAGAATGTCAAAGAGCTCTTCTTCACAGCGGGGCTTGTAACGCAACAGGAAAGTCAGCACCTCACCCTGGCCCCATTGGTCTAGATCAGGCATCCTGTCAATAGAGAAAACTGAAATTAATTCTATGACTATGGGAACTATTATTGCAGTTTTGGCTTAGACCCAGTGGTCTGCAGGCCAGTTGTTAGACAGAGTCACACCAGCACCACTATAAAGATGACTTATAAGACCAAGGTTGTAAATGACAAAGGGAGCATCAGCTATTGGGCAGTTTAGAAAGAAAACATAAAAGCAAAACGGGTGAGTGATTAGCTCAGTCAGCTGGCACCTGGAGGAACTGTCATTCTTCACAAACATTATTAGCTTTTCCACCTTATGTGTCTTAGTTTACAGTTCTGACTTGCAAGAACTTCATTCGTTTGAGTGCAACCAATTTATTTCTCATCTAGATATACATTAATTCCTCATGAGAGCAATACTGAGTTTTTTAGACTCCAATTCTATATCCACCTACCTAGGAGTAAGACCAACTGAATTTAGTGGGGCTTGCTTTTGCATAAACAGTGGATAGTATGCACTGCAAACTTGTAAGATGTGGCCTCTAGTTTGTGGGACTGGCAAGCAACATAGGCAGGGCATGAATGGGAAGAAAAAGTTGGTATTTTTGAATAAATAGTGTCTCCTAGACTTATATGCTTTATTTAAACTTATACCATGCTCTTTCCCTAGTATATTTTGATATCTAAAAGATGCTCATAAACAAATTTAACTGAAATATAGTAATTTTCCTAAAATGAACTTTGGTGGGCAAGATCCTAAAATAGAAGAAAGACGGTGCACATCTACATGTCCACATATTAGTATGTGGTGAAATCAGAGAATTAGAACCTAAGACTGTCTTTCCATTTAGTCTTTCCATTTAGACAGAAAGAACTTTGGTTATTGGGTGGTATAAAAGTGAAATTAACAACTCTTCCAGCAGCTCCCAGCTAGGAGTCCTAGGACATCTTTCTGTCCAAATATGCACAGCAGTGCAACATTAGTGGCCTTCACTTCAAGTTTCTTTTTGTTTCATTCAGTACAGTTGTACTACACATTAAGTGTAAGAAATTCTATGAAGCCTTGTACAGCAAAAGGGCCTAATAAACTGAATTACCTATTCCCATCCATAAAAAGAGGAAAATCTTGGATAGTGCAGTGACTTATCAACAATGTCAAGAGCCAGTTTGCTGAGAGGCTGGATTCTAAGAATGAACAGAATAAACACAAAAGATATGAGTTATTTCCACTTTACAGAATATTTTTGGGGAGAACATACCTGTTAAGTAGATGGTGGGCAATAGGCTTGTTGATGACAACTCCTCCCTCATGTTCTAGGATTTCCTCTAGAGCTCTTAAACAATTTACCACTACAATAGGATCTTGGTCACGAAGCAAACTATACAACTCATTAACCAGTGCAGCATCTGAAAAAGTTACAGAATATTAATACTTCCAATAAAAATCTGCTTAGAAGTACTTCACCTATAGGAAGTGGTCCTGATGTATTTGTGTGAGTATATACACCAGATTATCATCCCCAAAATGTAATCCTTCCAATAATAAGTCTATTTTCTGAAAATAATTGCTGCGAAATGTTGCAAGGGGGTGGCAGGGGTAGAAGATAAAAATGACCCAAAAGAACACATCTTCTGCAAAGGTGGCCTCTAGCCTCAAAGGACTTCAAGGAGAAGATTTGCTCAGTAAAACTATGCTACAACATGCATGCCCTGTTCTCTGCAGTACAGCATCAAAATAATATGCCCTCATATTTGTTTCAGTATTGTGAAGATGGATGGGGTGGGGGGTTGAATAGACTGGGTAAAGCCAATACACTTATTTACCAACTTCACTGTCTCCTTGGAGTTTCTGCATCTTTGCACATCCAAGAACAGCTACTCTCCTTACATAGGAAGCTTTGTCTCGCAGACCATTCAGAATTGGCTGTTGAACATACTCCTGCACACCAGGCATCCTATAAATATTACAGGTTATTACATTGTAAGTCCTCCTAAATCCCTCTTCATAATTTCCAAGCTACTCCACTAACTACTGTTCAGTACAGAAACAAATCGGGGCTGTTCTGATGCATACTACTATTTGAGACAAGCTTCTAACAGTTGAGCAGATAAGGAACTGTTCTCCATCCTTTGTACACATCACTCTAAAACTAGTTTCACACTTCAAACTATGTAAAACCAAATGAACAAGCAAGCAAGCAATAAACTTCAAGATCTTCTATAGGTGGGGGCGATAATCCTAAATTACTTTTTTCACCTTAATTTCTTGTCTTTTTATACATTCCTTATAATGCTATAAACATTCATCATCATGATGGCTCTTAGTTCTTTATAAGGTAGTAAAAGATTATTGGCACCACAATTTCCAACAATCTGGCTGAGAGCCAGTGTGGTATAGTGGTTAAGAGCATGGGACTGGGACTCAGACGATCAGGGTTCTAGTCCCCACTCAGCCATGGAGCCAACTGGGTGACTTTGGGCCAGTCACAGACTCTCAGCCCAACGTACCTCACAGGGTTGTTGTTGTGGGGATAAGATGGAGGAGTAGATGTAAGCTGCCTTGAGCCCTTTGTAGGAAAAAGGCAGGATATAAATCAATCAATCAATCAATCAATAACATTTATTTTAAGCTAATTAAATTTAGCTTCAATAGACATGGTCCCAAAACTAGCAAGAAACACAACTTACACTCGTGTACCACTGGCAATACAGAAACCCAAGCCTAAGGATTGCTGTGCCAGGGGTTCAGCCCATATTTGTACTTGAATGAGTAACATGACAAGGCTGTGTGTCTCCAGTGAAGACCAGAGCAAACAGCACCACTTTATTTATTTCCAAATTCAATAATTGTCTTACCTCAGACTGCACATACTGCGTAGAGCCAGTCCTCTAACCATGGGGTTGGGATCTGAGCAGTCTTTGCACAAAGTATTGATAGCTAAAAGAGCTAGATCTGGCTTCAGTGGAGCATACGTGCACATGTACAAGTATACTAGCTTCTTCTGAACAATGTCCACTGTGGCACTAGCCTTAACCATCTCCATAAAGACACTTGACACATCTACACCTTGAGTCATATGCCTGAAAGCAAGAGATGGAAAGATTTAAATATAAATCATAAGATCAAAATATAGCCTGAAAACAGCCACAGCCAGTGCATAAACAATAACAAATTCTGATTCACATTAGAAGAAGAGTGACAAGCCATTGCTGGCACATAAACTGTGCAATAAAAGCTTCATGATGATACTAGAGGGTATCAGAAGAGGGGACCAGAAGTCATGAGAAGACATGAAGAGGAAGCTGTGCTGCAGCATGCAAGATTTTAACCTCAGGCCAAAGATCTCCATTTTAAGCTTTAAGCAATCACACATGCTACTTCTATTCTATTTTATTTTATTTTATTTTATTTTATTAAAAGCTGTGGTAGTTCACAAGTGTGACAGCTAGCAATCTTCTTTCTACAGAAGCCAAACTATCTGACAGGTTTATTGTTGTGTAGCAGATGCACAGAACATAAATGAGCAAAGCTCCGAACCTCAAGAAACTGCATGGCCTTGGCTTTATTAAAATATCTAAGTAACCATAAAGAGATATAATTGATGCTACACACAAAACATTCACTAACTCATTCCAACAAGAGACTTTTAACATCTCCTTTGTTAAAATTTTCCCTAATGCAATACTTTTTCCCATGTTACTAAGACAGCCATTCCAGGGGGACAAGATAATTTGGACATAAAATATTCACCAATCTTTCATGGCCTTAATTAAAATACTTAAATAATTGGCAGGTTGTACTGTACAGCACAAGCAGATCAGGCCACTGACCTGATCACTCGCTGGATAACATTCCTGTAGCGGAGATGGTCAGCTTGCACATGAGGGTTAGAGAGTGCTCTCTTCAGCTCCTTCAACGTATCCTCTGAACCAAGGTATGGCATCTTGTAGAGACTCTAAGCACCCAGGAGGTGGTGACTGCTGAAGAATCTACTGCAGTAGTCACAAATAAAAAAAAGGTCACTCCATAAAGAATGCAATGTACTTCAGTTAGTATTCCATCTTCTCCCTTCACTCTCTTCTTCTATCATCTGCTGTTTTCACTGTAGAGACTATTGTTATTAGTATAGCATTTTACACAGTAACAAGTTGACAAGGGCCTCAAGGAGCTTAAAATATTTTTTAAAAATCAACACAAGGTGTACAACAGAGAGGGGGAAAACCTGAGGGAAAGGACAGAGAAGAAATCACACTTAGGCTTCATTTCAGTAAGGTATGGGGCGAACGATGCTTAACACCAACTTATGTCATTCTTACAAAGCCTAGAACTGCTGGTCTAACAACTGGGCCAGGCCATTTCCTTATATAACTGTCATACCTGAGCAGGAACCAAAGTAGCTATAGTATGACCAGTCACTGTCATAACCTGTCCTGCAGATGACTGCAACGAGGAAGGGTTAGAAGAAGCTCTGTAGGGTATAAATGTGGTAAAACAAAGGGTTGTAACTAGATGTCAAGTTGTAGCGCTCTAGCAAAGACATGGGAATATACAAGACTGCCTTAAATAGAGTAGTCCCTCTAGAAACATAATCATTAGGAAAATAGTAAAGAGCCCTGATGGACAGGATTACTGTCCCATTTGGTCCAGCATCTGGGTTCACACAGCAGCAGCCAGATGTTTTGGGAAGCCCACAGGCACGACATAAAGGGGAAAGAGCCCTTTCTTTTTGTAGTTCCCCAACAACTTCTATTCAGAATCATGAGGACAATGATCGTGGAGATGCAACGCAGCCAGTGAAGGCTAGTAGTCACTTTCCTCCACAACGGGTAGCCCCTCCCCAGGATTTTAGACAGGGTCTTTCCAAGCTCCACCGGGAGATGTTACGCTGTGGCCCTAAAGCCGTGGGCGCGCAAAGCGTGTATTCTAACGGCGAGTCGCGTCCGGGTCCGTGTCGGGTTCCCGCCCCGTTCAAGCAGCCCCAAAGGCCCAAGATATAATTAGGCACCTCAAGAGGGAAAGATGTAGCCGCTGCTATAGAAACGCCTGGGTGGGAGGGGCCTCATCTGCCAATTAGGGTCGTCTATAGAATTCGGCAGAACTTGAGAGAGAAAATGATGCGCGACAACTCTTCCTTCCTACTCGCATACCGACCGGAAAGGGATTCTCATCTTCCCAGCTCTCTACCAAAACTTCCGGTTATCATTGGCAATTCATGGAAGCTTCCATGTGCGGGGACAACGCCGCTATTTGAATGCAGTCAGATCAGGGTTTGGAATTCCTTTTCGTAAACTTCTCTGAAATCATCACACCTGGAAAAAGACTGTGTTTAGCAGTTTCATAATTTCTTCTTTTCCTCTTCTTAAAAACCCCAAAGCGGTAACATTCTAGTATGTTTCATAATAGGACAAGGAAAGGCCTTAAAGAGTTTGAGTGGGGAAAAAATCAACATCACATATCATGCAGTACAAGGATAAAAGCTGCACTTGTTGAATTTCTACAGATGATGGCACCCATGTTTTTAAAAAGCGCATGAATATTGCATTTATCTTTAGTTTGAGAGGGGAGGGCACGCTGTTACCCAGCCTTCCTTATGCTAAAATGCTGAATTTTCATTCGTTTCTTACGGCTGTCGGTCACTTTCTTCCCAACAGATTTTTTTAACTGCGTCAAAAACCCAGGAAATTTCGTTATCTGTCTAAAGTTTTGAACATCTAGCTCTTTAGAGACGTCTATTGGATGAGCAAAGCTACTGACTATAGTGCGCATGCGTTACAGAACTATATAGAGCATGCGCTGTCGGCTCTTTTATGTTGCGAGCGGCAGGATTCTATTTGGGATAGAGAAGCCGCCTGGCGCGTGGCGCCTGCGCAGTGCCTCGGGAGTGGCAATCTTCTTTTCTGGTTTTTCTACTTTTGGCGGGGAGAGCTCGTACGGGATGAGCGCTAGGCTGGGGGCTGCTTGTTCCAGGATGCGTCTTGTAAGGGTGGAAGGAGTCCCGTAGCTTGCAGCGGTGAGCCGCCCAAGGTCGCCAAGGGGCCCCCATTGGAAAGCCTTTTTTGCCGGCGGTGGCGTGTACCCCGATGCCTTTTGCCGCGCCACAAACTCGCAGAGCACAGTAAGCTTCAGCATCGCTCGCTACATCCTGGTTTTGGGAAGGGAAAGAGGATCGTGTGCTGGCGTTGGTCCTGTGCTTCTTGCTCGATCTGCAGCCCCCGCAGCCCTTGCGTGTTCATTCAGACGTTCTCCAAGTTCAGTGTTGCTTAGCAAGTACTTAAGTTGCACAGGATAGGGCCGCCCAGTTGCACTGCTAAGTACACGAGGCATCCAAAAGGAACCGATGCTGAGTTAGGGGCACGTAAACCGCATAAGGTTGCAGCCCATAAGGCGCTCTCTTTTATTACTGACCTGCGGCACTCTAGCAAGCCTTTTTACCCCTAAAAATCTTTGTCATTTCAGTGATTTCCCAAAACGTTTGCATACCAGCCTCCCTCCACCCGTGTTCTCCTTAGGTCTGCTAATGATTCTCAGTCCAAAGTTTTAGCATTAATACTTGTTTGTTAGAAGGCTTATAACGTGCAGCTCATACATTCTTATAACTAAGAACTGGATACAAATCCTAATGCCAACCTACTGCCTTTAGTTCTTGCATGCCTTCATTAATTGGTTTTTGTTCTTGAATAAGTCGTCTTTTTGGCTGAAAGCTTTCTTGGGGAATTTCTAGTTAAACACTCACAGCATAAACTTTTTCAGAATTGGTTAGTAGGCAATCTTGGACAATATTAATTATCACCTCAGCCACTGTTTATTGAGCTTGCAGTGTCAGGAGCTCCTGTAACTGTCAAGCTTTTTTTTACACTTCCAGTCTGGGTGGGATAACTTAACACCTTAAATACATGAAGGATTGGAAGATCACAAAGGCTCAACACCTTTGCTATCCACCTACATGTAGTAGTTGGCACACACAAGCATCTAGAGTGATTTTGTATAGAGTCATCCCAACTTATCCTACAGTTACACATGGAATTTGATGCATAATAGTAACTATAGGAAAGGATAGAAATACCTTAAATAAATCAGTTTTTGTTGGAAAAGTGAGTATTTAACAAATCAGAATAGCAGCCTTGCAGCACCTTAAAGACTATTGCATTTATGAGAGCACAAGTATTTGTGAATATAGTCAGTTTCAGATATGGGGAAAGAGAGAGTGGAGTACATTTGCGAGGTCTTTAAGACACAAAATGCAGAAAGAGAGGGCTAGTCACAAACCAGTTGCTAGTGATAACACAAACATCTGGAAAATTGTTAAAAGAGACAGTGTAGCTGATGTTTCCTTGTCATGTGATCAGATGGAAATCTGCAAATTGCATTATAGAGAATCCAAGAAACCTGGGGAAGGGGAACACATCACAGAACAATGACCCATCTCCTTCGGTCCTTATAGAATATGTAGGTAATGCAGTTCCTATTTCTATTGTTATGGGCCCTTTATCCTGTTCTTCTTCCAAGGAAGGCAGACCAGCAACAAACTTCCAAGGAACTTTATCCTACCCCATTTATCTTCACAACAAACTTCAGGCTGAAAAATAACTGCCAGCAGTCATTTAGTGAGCTTCAGTACTCAAGGGGGTGCTCCTCAGCCCTAGTCTAAGAATTTATTGTATGTGTTTGTTTTAGACATCTATAATCTGGCTTTCTAAAATTTGATTCCAAAGGCAGTTTACAGAAAACTAACAATGCAAATTATAGCAAAACAATATAGCAAATTATACTATCAGCCAGCCATCCCCATAAGCACACACACATTCTGTGTATGTATGTATGCATGCTTTGAATCCAAGATTACACTTTGTCTTTGATGAAGTGGAATGTAGTCGATGACTGCTTATCTGCAATAACAGATATGTTAGTCTTTAAGGTGGCACAAGATTCTTTGTTAGTTCTGCTGCAAGGAACTAACAGGGCTACTCCCTTGGAAATTGTTTTAATATATCTATGCTATATAAGAATACCAATATAATTGTTTTAATTGATCATGTGTAAGCCATGCTGGGAGCCTTTGTGGCAGAGAAGCGGTATACAAGTACTTCAAATAAATAAATAAGCTATGAGAGCCAGTGTGGTGTAGTGGCTAAGAGCCTGGGACTGGGACTCAGGTGATCTGGATTCGAGTCCCCGCTCAGCCATGGAGCCAACTGGGTGACTTTGGGCCAGTCACAGACTCTCAGCCCAACCTACCTCACAGGGTTGTTGTTGTGGGGATAAGATGAAGGAGGAGATGTAAGCTGCCTTGAGCCCTTTGTAGGAAAAAGGCAGGATATAAATCGATAAATAAATAAATAAATAAATACTTGATTCTCCACCTAGGTTCATGCCCTTGATGGTGGGGCTTCTCATTCTAGAGAAAGAGATCTCAATTTTTATTTCTTGTTGATCTATTTTGGTAGAACTGTATTGATGCCCCTCTTTAAAATATGTATATCCAAATTTCTTCCTTGCTTTTACAGGAGCTGGACTGATGAATGGGACTCTGATCCCAGGGACACCCATTGCGGTGGATTTTTGGAATATCAGAAAAGCAGGGGAAGCTCGCTTGTTCTTTCTTTCCCATATGCACAGTGACCATACAGTGGGGCTTTCTAGCACTTGGAACCAACCGATTTATTGCTCTCCTGTTACTGGTCAAATTCTGCATCTCAGGCTGAAGGTATACTTAGGCATAGGTGCATAGTTCTTTAGCCATTCTCTTAGGTGAAACCAACCACTGACTGAACCTTGTTTACACTTATAGGTGGCTGAGCAATGGATCCGCCCTCTGGAAGTGGGAGAGAGCCATGTCTTGGCCTTGGATGCAGTGGGCCGAGAAACCATGACAGTGACCTTGATAGATGCTAATCACTGTCCCGGATCTGTCATGTTCCTTTTTGAAGGCTACTTTGGTGTCATCCTCTACACAGGTAAGAACTTTCTTGGTCATGAGAGTCAGGAGACCAACATTCTAGATTGCATGCAATATTTCCCTCCTGTCCCAGCTTTGCTTTTCATTAATTTATCACCCAATGTTAACTTCTTGACTGCATTTTTAGCCCACTGATCACAGCCTCTGTAGCTCTAGTCTCTCCTTCTGTGCAGTGACCTCACTGCTAGGCCGTTATGGTGCAGTGCTGAGGTGAGCAGAGGACAGGCTGCATGTGGCCCGAAGCATCTCACTGTGCGGCTGGAGGAGCTACATTCATTTTTCTCAGTGGATCAGCTGGGCTTTGTGGAATGGGCCACAGTCTCAGTGCTGCAGCAATGCTGGGATAACAATCCCAAGCTGAGTTGCTAGGATTTCTCAGCAACTCTGAAGCGTCAAGAAAGAAGTGACCTCTGCAGCATATTTGGGTCACCTGGAGAGGAGGCTTTTAACAGCAACTGGGATAACTGTTTCCACTCCATTAATGGGGAAGCAGTGGTCTCCGTCTGTGTCATAGATGTAGTAGAGGAGGCTTAGGCCTTCCCCCAACAAGCATATCCCTGTATCAACAACAGAGCCTGTGCAGGCTCAGAACCCATGTGTGTGATGCACAGAAACCACAAAGAAGAAATAAGCCACATTGCTTGCTGCCACATTAACCTTATTCTTTAGTTATTTAGGCTGAACTTTAATCATGAACTTCTTCTTGCAAAGTGGCAATTTCCCCTGACTGTCCTACAATATCTCTCACCAGGTGATTTCCGCTACACCCCCAGCATGCAGCAGGAACCAGCTCTGAAGAATGCAAAGGTCATCAATGTCCTCTATCTGGACAATACAAACTGCCATCCCAATATTGTCTTACCATCCCGGGAAACAGCGACTGAGCAAATAAAAAGGGTGATCAGGGAACACCCCTATCACATGGTTAAGATAGGTAAGTAGTCCTCATAGATTGGGAGGAAGTTTCCAGAAGGCTAATCTCAAATCCACTGGCTTGAGAATCCTTTGAAGAGGATGGCCCACAAAGATTTATAGCAACCC